CCACCCCCAGTGCTGTCGCATGCTATCTGGTCCTTGTAGCAACCCCATAAATAGCTTTATTGCGGGAGTTTACAACCCTTGTGATATAATCTCTACTGAGTCAGCTGGCATCTGAATAGAAACTGTGCCTGTCCAGGGCTAGGAGAGTAAATCTGAAGGCAAGTCACGCTCTTTTGAAAGCAAATTGCTCAACAGCAATTGCACATAGTTCATTTTTGTGAAGTTGAAGCATATGGGCACCTCGCTCAATTGCCTGGTGCAGAAACCCTGAAACCTGGGGCTTAAAGTGGAAGAAGACATTGAAAAATCAGGAGTTCAGTCCCAGGTGGAATCAGGAACCATTGCTGCCCGTGTCAGCGATGAGATGTCCCATGAGATGAATTGTGCTTGGTACAAAGAAGGGAAACCAAAGAGCAAAAACCGACAGACACGTACACGGCTGCAGATGTGGGCTAGTCATTCCCCCGGTCCGTTTTTGGGAGTGTTTTTAATAACTAAGCTCTTTGTCTGTGAGACTAACCTGGAAATACTTTATTTCATTCTTGTATCAAGCTACAATAAGAGAAAATGCCGAACCGAAACAGGGGAATTCAGCCTGGACCTAGGGCTGCTTGACTTCGGCGCGTCGTACACCGTTGTGATAACCAACGTGAGTTCCCCTTCGGCTTTAACGCATTGTTTCTGCTCTGCACGCCCCTCCTCTCTGTCTGTGGTCTTGCCCTTCCGCCGGCATCTGCTGGCTTTGCCGTTACTGTGGCAGGAGCTTGAGCATAGCCATTGAAAAAGAGTCACTTATAGGAGGCAAATTTTGGTACTGAGGGTGTGAAAGTAGCCTGCAGCCATTCCACCGTACGCTGTGATCTTGTCTCACAGGTTAAACCAGAGGTAAGGCCTGGTCTTGTAGCTTGAGTGGGAATCCTCCAAGGAAAATACAGGATCCAGGGATCAGTTTTGGCAGTTTTGCTCGGCAGCGTTGTTCTTTCCGAGTTAATGGTGGCTCATCCTTGGCACGAAGGGGTGCTGTGCTGCTGGAAATGCCCCTGCCAGATAAGACTTAACATGGATATATAATTGCTAAAAGACTCCACAGGAGCCCTCTCACCTTCATTACTTTGCAGACATGTTCCACCTCGCCCTCCAACTTCCTCTGCCTGAAGCTGATGTGACGGTCTTGGGGATTTTAGAGGGGGTGGGAGAAAAGCCACGAGAGAGGCTTGAAAGTCTGTGTCTGTCTTGCCATTTCTCAGCTAGGGAGCACATAATAATTTTGAATTCCAGCTAAGGAACAGCATCTATCTTTGGAGGATTTCCAGAGGCAGAAATGGAAGTTTTCATGACGTTTCCTCCCCCTTTTCTGGGGTGTTAACAGCATCGGAGCCAGGCAGCCCCCTTTGACGGGCTGCTATTGCTCCAGCCAGCCTAGGCTGCCACTCAGATTTCCAATGCTTCTCTAGCTGACAAGGGCCAAGTACCTAGATGTGATTTACCACTTCGGCTTTTCCAAAGCACAGCCACGCAGACAAACCGAGTCTGACAGGACACTGTGCTTAGCTGCCCTTTGGGTCTCCCACTGCCGTGCTGTGATTAGCAGGGCAAAATGCTATTAGCTACTCGCTGGTAATAAAGCATCCCTGTTGGGCGAATAATAAGATCTGGCCGTGCCTCCAAACCCAGTTCTCTAAAGAAAACAATTATAGCTGCGAAGCTCCCGGTCGTTGCTGAAGTGGGGTGTACAACCCTCAAGGTAACGGGCCTGTCCTGTCATCTCTAGGTTCAGGGAATTATATATGCCGTGCAAAAGTGCTGCCGGGGGGCATGCTCGCTAGACCTGAGCATACCCCCTTCAGTCTGTTTCTCCTTCAAAATGATGCCATAATCTTTGATTTCCCAAGTGTCTTCTATCTGCATTTTGTCACAATAAATAACAGCATCATTTGCGTGGTATCTTTTCGCTGAGATAATTTTTCCAGTTTTGGTTACCTTAACAACCTTGCTGTGCTGCTACAAATCAGAGACTCTCTCTCAACTGGCTTATTTATTTTCTGCTAAGGGATGATTTTTTTTTCCTTATCTGGGCAATTCATTTGATCATAAATGAGGTATTAGGCAAAGTGGTTTTATAGAGTAAATCAACATGTCATAACGGGCTGGGTCATGCGTGCAGATGCTGCTGCCCCTCTGTTGGAGGGAACATAACCGTTCAGTTTTCTACCATGAACCCCCCCAGTTAATGGAGATTCTCCTGTATTTTAAGTGGCTGGGGTCCGTGTTTTGAAGGTAAGCCCATTTGAATCTTATGGCCACTATGCCTGGCATCAGTTCATGGTCAGGCCCTCAGCTTCACCAAGGGTGTTAGCCAGGTTGGGCTGAACTTAGGCAGAAGGCAAGCACCTTAAAGACTAAGCTGGTTAAGATGCATCAGCTGCAGAGTCCTAAATGCCTGTAGAGTCATTACCGTATCCTGGGCCACATCCTCAGCCAGCATAAAATGATGCGGCTCTATCGACTTCGGCAGAGCTACACTGGTTTATGCCAGCTGAGGATCTGCCCTGTTATTTCGGGGAGTGCAAATGTCCTTAAATTAGCCCCTGTTATTGTTTAAATGCGTGTTCAGGGTTTTCTTTCTCTCTCTCTCGCTCTTTTTTTGCAGAGGTTTTTTTTCCCCCAGTTTGGGCAGTGAAAATCCAGGAGGCTCTTTGGGGGGGGGGGGTTGGCTACCCTACTCATCCCATCCACCTGGCCAATGTTGTACGAACCTGGCCGCCTACCTCCAGAAGTTACATAAAAATCACAAACCTGCCCCAGCTTCTCAGCAGCTCCTTTTTGGGCAGGCAGGTCTTCAGGGAAGCCGCAGGCAACTGGGGAGGTGGCCAGTCTTGATTTTAACCCATTGAGACAAAGCCGGGAGTCCTTGACACAGTTGTTCCTGTAAGGAGTTGAGCCTGAATGAAGCTTGCACAGTACCAGTTCTGTGTGTCCGCTCTTGGAAGCGAAATCAGGGTGATTTCACCCTGTTTCAGGCTGTCCCCTTTGCCCTGGGTAGCATTTGTTCATGTGTCCACAGTCAGCCGCCCCCCTTCATCTCATGGTACTTGTCTCCTAAGGCTACATATGAGGCTTGCCTGCCTATCCCAACTTGTCTTTGACCCTCCTGGCTCTTCCTTTTCACTTCTCTCTCCTTCTGGTGATGGGTTTTGATGTTTCTTGCTGGGCTCCACTCAGTACTCATTCCTGTGATTTGCATGGCATCCCCACCTCCTGTCTGAAGTGCTGTATAAATGACCTAAATGCAGTAGGTAGTGTGGGAATGCGTCTGGACTCTAATAAGTAAATCATTAGGGACAGTGTTTTCATGCAGCTTCCATCCCCATCCAGCTATTTTTAAGGCATCACTGACATTTTTTTATGGCCTAACGAGCAAGAAACAGAGGTTTCTTTCCCTCCTTTGAGCCTTCAGAAATATGCCCTCTTGATTTGTCTCCCTTTATGATGATTAAGCATTGCTCGTAAACATCCCCCGTGCCTTCCTCAGCATCCTTCTTAAAAGCAGAATTTGCTGTTTCCTCTAGGCTGACTTGAAGTTATTTCAGGTTAGTGTGTTCTTGGCTACTAGTCTCTCTTTCTCTCTGTAATAGGGCAGGTGTTAATTAAATCGAAGGAAGCAAAGTTAGAGAGTTAGAAATAAATTTACCGTAAACCACACGAGGGCATCTGATGCAGGTGTCGGACAAGAGCAGGTCTGTCTGGCGGGCTGCGGTTCTAGTGCCTCGCTCTTGTCACGTGCCCTGAATTGTTGATGGTGCAGGAAGTTGGTAGGATTCAGATCCAGCTGGCAAATCAAAAAGCAGATTTTTTTGTTCCACCTTTATAAGAAAACTCACTTTTGGTAAATTCTGTGTGGAAGCCCATGCAGGATAGACCTTCTGCTTCAGCAGCTCATCCGTGTGCCCCCTGTGCTGTCTCTCCTAGGCGTCTGGAAACACTCTCCGCATGTGGAAGTCAGAAGATATCAAAGCCAATCATATTCATCTGGCTTGGCAGTTGCCGCAGTACATGTTGATATCAGCTGGAGAAGTGATGTTCTCCATTACAGGCCTGGCATTCTCTTATTCTCAGGTATTGTACTTTTGGGACTCATCGACGGTTGCCAGAGAAGGGGAGAAAAAATCCCCTTAAGAATCAGAACTTCTGGACTCTTTTCCCATCTCTGCTACTGACTTGTAATTTGGCCTTTGGCAACAACTCCAGTAAATGCCCGGTTTAAAATTAAGACGTTAACTTATCTGTGACACTACATTCAGTTGCAAGGCTCTGCGAGTCCATTGGTGTCCACTTGGCAGCATATTCCCTCCACCCTGGTCCACCCCCTGCACCATAGAGCCCTCCGCATCCGTACGGCCTGGCATGAAATATCGGGGAGAAAGAGCAGCTAAATGCTGAAACAAAGGTGCGGAGCCCAAGCCATTGAGCAGGTCCTTGTGTTGTTTTCAGGCTCCTGTCAGCATGAAGTCCGTGCTCCAGGCAAGCTGGCTGCTAACCGTGGCCTTTGGAAATGTCATCGTGATTATTGTGGCCCAGGCTGCACCGCTGGAGCAGGTATGGCTGTGACGGGACTGGGCATGGGGGCACTGCATTGGGAGTGTCCTCCTCCTGGCACTCTGTCATCGGGGCACTTAAAATAGTTAAAAATGCCCTGACTATAAGCCCAACATGCCAAGGGCTGGAGCCGATGCATCGTTAACCCAACCAGCATCATTAACCCAATGTGCATCATTAACCCAATGTGCATTGTTAACCCAATGAGCATCATTAACCCAATGTGCATTGTTAACCTAATGAGCATCATTAACCCAATGTGCATCATTAACCCAACGAGCATCATTAATCCAATGTGCGTTGTTAACCCAATGAGCACTTTTAACCCAATGTGCATCATTAACCCAATGGGCACCATTAACCCAATGGGCACCCTGTATGGCAGCAGGTTGTACTGCGATCTGCTATAAGGCTGGCGCACAGCCCAGCAGGGAGCTTACCAGTGAGGCGAAGGCCCCTGGATTCCTGAAAGACCAAGTGCACCCAGATGGTCCAAATTGGGAGAGGCTGATTGCTAATGAAAAGGTAACACTAAGTTTTAACAGTGGGAATTTTTTAAGCATTGCCTGTCCCCTAAATGGTTAGCTTTGTGCATTCCCACTTGCTGGAGAAGTTTAAGGCAGATTCGCCCGTTTGGGAGGGGTCCGGAGGATGAACCATGCTTTAGCTCATCAGCTCACACCAATTAGCTTTAGCTATATGCTTATAATGACCAAATTTCATATAAGAGAGGTCCCAGAAACCTCAAGAAAGAGGCTTTCCTCCTGTGAGCTCTCCTGGCAATGAAGGCCTCGCATGCAAAGAGACCTCTAAAATGAAGCAGGTGCCTCCCTCGCTTGGGAACGGGGTGCTCAGAGCTGTGTTTGCACTTCTTCTCCAGTGGGCTGAGTTTGTCCTGTTTTCTGGCCTCCTCTTTGCCGTGTGCGTCGTCTTCTCCATCATGGGCTATTTCTACGTC